GGCCCCTACCACAGCTTTGCTGGCTGCCGGCCCGCCCCGAGACAGGGCCCTTGTCCCAATAGCGCGCCAGTGTGGCCCAGGCACTGCCGGCGTTCCCTAGTAGCGATGGCAGGGCCAAGGACTGGGAGCGTCTGACAGGACACGGCAGGGAGGGTCCCAATACAGCGCCAGTGTGGCCCAGGCACTGCCGGCGTTCCCTAGTAGCGATGGCAGGGCCAAGGACTGGGAGCGTCTGACAGGACACCCGGCAGGGAGGATGCAGGCGGCAGGGATGGGCGCCGGGCAGGGGGCTGTGGGTGACAGGGACCGGTGCTACTCCGGAACCAACAGAGGGTATGTGTGCGCCAGAGGAATGACCATCCAGCAGGGGTGCATGGGGATGTGACAGGGATGGGTGCCTGGCAGGGTGTGTGTGTGAGGGGGTTGGGCACCTAGCAGGGTGTATCGGGGTAGCAGGGATGGGCGCCTGGGAGGGTGTGTGTGTGAGGGGGTTGGGCGCCTGGCAGGGTGTATTGGGGTGGAAGTGGGATGGGCGCCTGGCAGGGTGTATCGGGGTGGAAGTGGGATGGGCGCCTGGCAGGGTGTATCGGGGTGGAAGTGGGATGGGCGCCTGGCAGGGTGTATCGGGGTGGAAGTGGGATGGGCGCCTGGCAGGGTGTATCGGGGTGGAAGTGGGATGGGCGCCTGGCAGGGTGTATCGGGGTGGCAGGGATGGGTGCCTGGCAGGGTGTGTGTGTGAGGGGGTTGGGCACCTAGCAGGGTGTATCGGGGTAGCAGGGATGGGCGCCTGGGAGGGTGTGTGTGTGAGGGGGTTGGGCGCCTGGCAGGGTGTATTGGGGTGGAAGTGGGATGGGCGCCTGGCAGGGTGTGTGTGTGAGGGGGTTGGGTGCCCGGCAGGGTGTATCGGGGTGGCAGGGATGGGTGCCTGGCAGGGTGTGTGTGTGAGGGGGTTGGGCGCCTGGCAGGGTGTATCGGGGTAGCAGGGATGGGTGCCTGGCAGGGTGTGTGTGTGAGGGGGTTGGGCACCTAGCAGGGTGTATCGGGGTGGCAGGGATGGGCGCCTGGGAGGGTGTGTGTGTGAGGGGGTTGGGCGCCTGGCAGGGTGTATCGGGGTGGAAGTGGGATGGGCGCCTGGCAGGGTGTATCGTGTCTGTGTGTAATGGCAATTGCCTGTACTAGCTCCAGCCTTCTAATTCACCGAGACCCAGGTCTGCAGCCTGCCCAGGAGGGCAGCCTGCTCTGAGCTCCCGGGGGACTGGCCCAGCCCCTGTGTGCACATCTCCCCACAGAGCAGGGCCCTAAGCTTCCTCAGCCTCTCGCTTTGCTTCTGCATCAGGCTGGCCCTTTGCCCGGTGCCTTGACCAACTCCAGCAGGCGGCCGCTGTGACGGCAAGAGAGACCCCGTCACCAGGGGACAGAGCCTGGCGAAAAAGCCCCCGCTGTGCAGTGAGCCGGCGAGACGCGCCTCCGCTTTGCCTGCTGCATTAGCCTGACCCATCCACTTGGCCGCCAGCCGCAGCAAACCTCACTGCCAGCCCACAGCCTGCCAGGGCAGAACTGCAACCATTGCTCGTTAAGTGCATCCCCGCAGCCAGGGCCACGGCTCTTTGCTGGGGAGGCCCGGATGCAATCAAAGCCTGATCCTGGCCTGGTTTTTTCTCTTCCAGGTTCCTCTGAAGACCTGACATTCTGCATCCTCTACCTTGCAGAGGTGAGTAGATCCTACAGGGTCCAGCTAACCAACGCTTTGTCCTGGGGGCAGAGCCGAGAGCGGGTCGATTTCACTTCTCCTTGGAGTTAGTTTGCCAGCTGCTGGGAAAGGGAACAGAGGTGGCTGCAGCCAGCACGGATGAAGCTGTTACGTGGAATTTGTGACTCAGGAGAGAATGAAGCATTGATGTCTGTACCCTTCCCCACCCCCCTTCCAGGCCGGGGGCGGGGCAGCCTTTCCCCACTGCTCTGACTTTTGATTGGTGCCTACGGGTTCTTCAGCCCTCTGATGGATTTATTGGCCAGTTTCTTTCAATTTCTTTTTACAGGCGGTTCCCTGTTCTTGCCTTCAGAATCTCAGACTTATAAACCATGAAATAGGACAAAGCAAGCACGGTGCATAGTAAATTCCTGGTTATCCAAATGGCTTGGGGGTCAGCTAAATCCTTGGGGTAGCTGGGCGTATTTTGAGCTGCGGATTATCCTGCCAAGTGTTGTAGAAGGCTGGAGCTAGTACAGGCAATCCCCCCCCCCACACCCCGCCTCTGAAATATGATTAGGATTCCGTGACTGCAGGTAACTGCTTAGAAGAGCTATACAAACACAAAGCCCTGGATTAGGACTAAGAGGCGTTAAGAGGCTAATTGAGATGTAATTAGCTGGTGATGAACTAAGAGAAGGTTTCAGGGAGGACAGGCAGTAACGAGGATCTCAGATAAAAGGCAATGACACTGGAAAAGACGCTTTCCATAAACACAGCTCAGAAAGAGCATGCAGAGGGAATGTCATAAACATGGTTATAATCACTTGGATGGTGGCCAAGTTCCTGTTGCCAGAAATGAGCTGAGAGCTGCAGAACTTGTTCTTTGTGAATTGAACCTACCCAGTCACCAGATCTTGCAGCTGCTTGCTGTGTGGGGTCCCTTCCCCCTCCCTCCCGAGTAACTCCGGGTTGTGCCTGATTTCAGCGCCCGGTGGGGAGAGGGCAGGAGTTTGGGGCTAGTCCTGCTTGTGCGAGCGTGGCATAGTTGCTTCCCCTTTCTCTTTGCCCTCCAACGCTCTTGTTTGTCTTGACTGTTGTAATGATGAGATGTGCAGCGCAGGAAGACGACCCTGTCTGGGTACGGCACCAGCACAGCAGGGCCCCGGCCTCAGCTGGAACCTCCTGACCCTGCCGTAATACAATTAAAACTGGCCTCAACAGCCTCCCTCTCGGAGCCTTACTAGGGAAGGGGAGGTGGGGCCCTCATGGTGCCTGCTCGGATCGTAGCCCTCCAGCCAGAACCAGAGCAGGGGAGCTCCCCGCTGTGTGGGGCACACCCCAGGAACCTGCTGGGGTGTCTGTGTTAAAACTGGCCTCAACAGCCTCCCTCTCGGAGCCTTACTAGGGAAGGGGAGGTGGGGCCCTCATGGTGCCTGCTCGGATCGTAGCCCTCCAGCCAGAAGTTTAACGCCCCCGACCCGAGCAGGACAGACCCCAACTCAATCATCCCAGCCAGGGCTTTGTCAAGCTGGGACGTAGAAACTTCTAGGGATGGAGAGTCTCCCCCTCCCTAGGGAACCCAGCCCAGCGCTTCACCCTCCTTGGGAAACAGCTTTTCCTAATATCCAACCTAGACCTCCCCCACTGCAACGTGAGCCCATTGCTCCTTGTTCTGCCATCTGCCCCCACTGAGAACAGCCTCTCTCCATCCCCTCTGGAACCCCCCTTCAGGGAGTTGAAGGCTGCTGTCAAATCCCCCCTCACTGTTCTCTTCTGCAGACTGAACAAACCCAAATTCTTCAGCCTCTGCTCATAGGGCATGTGTTCCAGCCTCCTAATCATTTTGGTCGCCCTCCGCTGGATCCTCTCCAATTCATCCACAGCCTTTCTACAGTGGGGGGCCCAGAACTGGACACAATACCCCAGATGTGGCCTCACCAGAGCCGAATAAAGGGGAATAGTCGCTTCTCTGGATCTGCTGGCACTGCTCCTCCTAATGCCCCCTACTATGCCATTAGCCTTCTTGGAAGGCAGGGACGAGGGCCGCACGCTCCCTTCTCTCCAGCGAGGGTGGGACCTGCCAGCGCCCTAGCACTGCCTGTCCCCGTGCCCGTTGGGTGCTGGTAACGAAGGGGAGGGGGCAGCGCCCCGTCCCAGCAGGTGTGAAGGAAGCAGGGCGCCGCGGGTGCAGGCCAGGAGAAGGCAGGAACGTTTAATGGCAAGGAGTAAGCGCACAGCCAGCGGTATCAGCAGGGCAGGGGAGGAAGGGCCGGTACAGCTGCGTTGGGGGCCACGTGTGCCCAGCACGGGCTGGGGGAACCGGGGGCCCAGAGCTGTGAGCTGCTCCAGCCCCCTGCACCGGCAGGCTGCCCCCAGCCAGAGCTACGACACGGCCGCTAGTGGTGGAAGGGCCACGGGCCACGCCAGAGTCCGTGTGAAAACTAACCTGGCTCCACAGAGGCCCCCGGGGGG